AAAAATCAGTTTTTGTGATCTCACCACACCTGTGGCCTTTGACCTTTGACCCCCCCCCAAAATCTAATCAGTTCGTCCTTGAGTCCTAGTGAATATTTGTGCCAAATTTGAAGAGGTTCCTTCAAGGCGTTTCTGAGATATCGGATCCACGAGGATGGGATGGACGGACACACGTGAAAACAATATGGCTGCTGCTCTGACTGTCGCTGAGGAATAAAAACACAAAGTTTCGTTTCCCACCCAGAAAATACAAAATAAAAATCAGTGCATAGAGTGAAACATAAGAGACGTTAGTCTAACCCGGTATCTCCCTGAAAGAGCTCGTTGGTTAACGACAGACGGCTCGTTGTCATGGCGTCAGTGATGTTCCTTCATGCTTTAGATAAGACTTTCTGCTCCACACGCACAGAGCGACCTTCACGCATCTCATTAGGGAACTTAGTTGAGTATCTGTTGTTTTTTTTTTCTCAGTGAGCAGAGTCCAGGATCTAATGAGAAGGTAAAGCTCCGGTGATGTTGGTGAAGGAGGTCTCAGCTTAGCAGGAGAGAGCCGACCTCTGTCCCGCATCTGAATCTGACAGTCGGCTCTGGATTTGTGTCGTTGCTGTGGAGTGAGGTGAAGCTGATGAAGGAACTGGTCTGTACCTGGAATTACTAGAAGCTGACATCAGCTGAAGTCCATAAGGTCGAGGTTGAAACAGGGGAAAAAGGGTCATCTCAAAGAAATCAAGACCCAGGTCATGTGGACAGTTGTATGTACCTTCAGCTTTAATGCATTCCTCCTTAAATCTGCCTCAAATCCATCAGTTCCTGCAGGACAGAGCGAGTCCTCGGGTCACGATCGAGGCTCGACTTCACGTGTTGGAAAGCGGATTAACCCGAGTTGGAATGAAGTCGACTGAAAAGGTGTAATGCAATTATTGGTTAATAGTTTTATACTTCATGTTTTATAAACAGGCAAACAAAGAGACAAAAGTTGCTCGGTCGATGGGAAGTTTAAAGTCTGAAGCTGCAAAAGTGAAACTGCCTCCAAGACCAGAAAAAAGAAAAGAATCCAAAGTGTCTTGTTTGAATTCCCGATCAAAGAGTTCGACTGCGTCCTCTCTCTGTTGTACTGTCGCTTCAGGTGTGTGAGGTGATTAATTAATTAAAGGTTTTTCTTTGTCCAAGGAAGAAGCTCACACCACTGTGTTGCTCATCGGGATCCGCAAAGAGGCCCGGTCGCAAGTGCTTCACCTCTCCAGGAACAAGCGCTACACCCTCACCCCGGAGCAGCTGAAATGGGACAAGTTCAAACTGACATACAAGTACTCATTTCTAATTCTTCACCTGGTCAGCACAGCAGGAAAGTACAGGTGTAGCCAAAAAGGTCAAAGTGCATCACCTGACAGAACTCCAGAGATGTTTGATTCTTCCTGGAGATGAAGTATCTGTGTTAGTGTAACTGCAGCAGATATATAAGAGAATATCAGGTCACAGTAATGGAGTTGTAACTCTGCAGCGCTGAGGGAATTCTGGTCCGTCTGAACAGTAGCCATTGTGTTTTTGGCAGATTGGTCCTGCTGCAGAGGAATGTGTGTAGAGACGAGTTTTAACCACACCGTGCTGTTGTCTCCGGGCAGGTTGCTCTCCTTCCCCACAAACTTGATAAACGCCAGTGACACGCGTCGAGGCATCGCCAAGGCCTTCGGCATGTGGAGCGACGTCTCGCCGTTCAGCTTCAGAGAGGTGCCAGCTGACCACGAGGCAGACATAAAGATCGGTGGGTGCTCCCCGACAGATGTTTCTTGGCTCCGAGCTCCAGACTTCTGCTTTACTGTTTTTCTCTCCGTGCTGTCTGCACCTCCAGATTCATTAAATCACTCCACCGCAGCTATATTACCAAGCTTATATTCAGTGTGATTCATTATTCTAAACGAAAAAAAAAAAAGAAAAAAAGAAAAGCTTTAGCAACTTCCATACATGTCAGCCCACGGCGAGGCCGTCTGAACGATGCTCTGTCCGTCCCTCTGGGTGCAAACTCCAGGGTCCTGCACAGATTCAGAGTGGACAGTGAGAGGGATGGTCGTCCTGCAGGGTGAAGCTCTGTCCTCTGTAATCCATCATCCTCCCTCGAGTCTACACACTGCAACTAATAATGGAGTGAGGGTCTCTCTCTCTTTCTCTCTCTCTGTTTTGCAGGCTTCTACCCCGTCAAACACACAGACTGCCTGCAGTCCCACTTGCACCATTGTTTCGATGGCATCACGGGAGAGCTGGCTCACGCTTTCTTCCCGCCAACAGGCGAGATCCACTTTGACGACCATGAATACTGGATTCTTGGAAACATGCGCTTCAGCTGGAAGAAAGGTCTTCATCACATTTGTTGAAAACGGGGTGGGGGGGGGGTTACAGCAACATGAAGAGCAAATAACCAGCAGTGTCTTTGTTGCAGGGGTTTGGCTGACGGATCTTGTCCATGTGGCAACGCATGAAATCGGCCACGTCCTGGGACTCATGCACTCCATGGACCCGAAAGCTATAATGCACCTGAACGCAACTCTGACGGGGCGCAAGCTCATCACCCAGGATGAAGTGTGGGGTTTACACCGTCTCTATGGTGCGTTCACTGTCCGCATGTTTCCTCACGTTTCTGCCAAAACACAAAAGGGACACATATAGAAGTAGTAAGTCAAAGACAAACTGAATCGGTCTTGAAGATCTTATGCGATCCATCCAAAAGGTGAATTACAGAAACCTCTTGAATGAATGGAAAAGATCCTTAAGACCTGAACAGTAAGTCCAGTTCTGATGCCCGGGTCAGACTCCACGAGAGGCCCGAGGCCCGAGGCCCGGGGCCCGACCCGACAGCATCAAAGTACCAAAGTGTGGAACAGCATAAATAAAAAACATCTAAATCAACATTATGCAAAAGCATCTGGCAGGAATATATGTAAAAATATGTAAAAATAAAACACGTATCACACATCACCAAAGGCTGAGACACAGAAATGTGTTTTCAGAAGAGATTTAAAGGAAGTTAAAGAGTTACAGCGTCTGATCTCAGGCGGGAGAGAGCTCCGGAGTGTCCAACGCCCGGTCACCCTCAGTCACAAGCCTTGACCTCGGGGAGACCAGCACGCCTCCTCCTGCAGATCTCAATTCTCAAACCACGTCAATAAATCTGAGATGTAATTTAAAGCCTTAAAATTCAGCAGAAGAATTAAAAAAAATCAATGATGGCGAGTCAGAAATGTCCTGTCGTCTGATCCCGGCATCAGAAGAATTATTGTAGACACACTTGAGAGGAACCTGTGATCCATTTTTGGTCAGAAGCGACCAGAATGCAGACCACAGTGTTTGTCTTTGACGGCTGACACCGAAAGCCAACGTGGCATTAATGAATACTGTATAAACTACTCATGAGTCATGATTAGCGTGTATTATGGTGAGTCATTTTCATTGGAACAAAAAGCAGAACGAGGATCCAAATTCTTCTGCTGCTGACTTAGAGCTGCTGTCTGATCCTCCTCACTCCTCACTTCTCCTCCTCTCTTCCAGGATGTTTGGACCGGTTATTTATCTGTCCGGCCTGGGCTCGGAAAGGTTATTGCGACAGCAAGCGCAAGCTGATGCAGAAGCACTGCCCCTCCAGCTGTGATTTCTGTTACGGTAAGACACAGCAGCAGCAGCAGCAGCAGCAGCAGCAGAAAACAGCAGCAGCCGTCCAGGGGAAAAAAAAAAAAAAAAAAAAAAAAAGAGAAAGTTTTCTCTCAATTGAGCAGCGCGAGGAGCTGCTGTGAACTGTTTGCCAATGGAGCAACGGGAGCCAACAGGTCCAGCCATGCAGAGCTGCGATGGGGGTTTTCAAGAATCTCATTTGAAGGGAAATTGCACTTGCTACTGAAGGAGTTTGTGTTTAGTTTTGGAGAATAGCAGCGCCCCCAGAATACTAACAGAGCTGGGGGTGGGGGTGGGGGTGGGGGGGGTACCTGCTGGTTGCTGTGTCTACACCGAGTATTGATAACACACCCGCAGTGTAGCAGCCTGGGCCTCTTCAAGCTTATCGTGGGGCGGACTAGCGCCGAGTCCCTCTGTTGCACAACAGGAAATGGCTCCTCTTAACCATCGCAGCCCATAGATTGTTGTGGCTGTCTGAGATTTTTGTCAGCAACAAGGGACAGTGTGGAGAGAGGCAAGAGGATACGATTCCTGGCTCACAGTAATCTGTTCCTCATTGTTGATTGGGAGATGTTGTACGGCTGTGGAAAATTCCTGAGTGAGTCCAAACCGCTGGAATTTCAGACTGTGGCTTGAGGGTTAGAGACACACAAGGTCAATTTGGATTTTTGTGGCATTAACGAGAGCGACTGTTTTTAAGCAGAATTTGAGTTGATCACTAGGCAGACGGTTGTGTTTGTCAGAAACCAGATGGGAGAGATTATATTGATAAGACAGGCCACGGCGCCGGCAGGTCAGGGGTGGTGAAAAGAGGAGCAAGTGTCTGACGGGATGAGGTCTGCATCGAATCGTCTGACCATTATCAGTGTTGGCGAGGGAGAGCGAGACGAAACACACACAGATAAATGCTGCAGCACTTTCCAGCACTCTGCTCTTAGACAGACAGGAATATTATAGGATCATTAAAGGTCTAATCTTTGCAATTCTTATTTTGGAGTTTTTTTTTTTGTTTGTTTGTTTGTTATTTCCTTTCAATCTTCCTCAGAATTCCCTTTCCCCACCGTGGCCCCCACACCCGCTCCCCCGAGGACCAAGCACAAGCTGGTCGTTGAGGGCAAGAGGCTGACTTTTCGCTGTGGGAAGAAAATAGCATCAAAGAAAGGCAAAGTATAGTGAGTATCTACGGAAGAGGATTAGGGCCACGCGAAAAACATTTTTTTTTTTTTTAATATTCTGACTTTCTGAGATTTAACTTGGAATTCTGCGAAAAATTAGAAATCTGAGATTAAAATTGAAATTCTAAAAAAAAAATAAAAAAAATTCACTTGGCCCTTTTCCTCTTCAGTGAGTATCTGTTGGTTTTCCACCTAAACGCAGTATGATTTCACTCAGCACACTGTCTAATGTCTTGACTCCCGTTCCAGCTGGTACAAAGACGGGGAGCTGCTGGAGTTCTCTCACCCGAACTACATCTCCCTGAAAGACGACCACATCACTATAGTGGCCAACGCCATCAACGAGGGCACATACACCTGCATCGTGAAGAAAAAAGACAAAGTTCTCACTAACTACTCGTGGAGGGTGCGTGTGCGCTTCTGAAGGCCGCGCCGCCTCCTCCGCGCACTGAACAGGACACATTCACACACACGGTCACCAGGAGACCTCATTCACTAGGGCACATATTTCTGTTTTTTTTTTTTTGTTTTGTTTTTTTTTTTTATAAAAATGACTTTCCTGTATCTTCCACACACAACTGTCTATCGTCGATTGTCATTGTGTAAGTGCGTTTTCATATGTGCAAGTAATAAATGTGCCGTGACAAGTAGTATTTTTGTGAAAATACTACCTGACTGTGAAAAGCTGTTCATGGCAGACATTGCGGTTTGTATTTTATTTGGTGATGAAAAATCCTTGCAGCCCTCGTCAGCTGTTTGGGACGATGTCCACCCTGGATTCATCGAGCCTGGACTTCTTCAAAGCTCTTGCTGCTCAGGCAGTAAATGGGGTCCAAGGCCACCCACGGGATCTTGGGACTTCCCCAGAAAAATGGGGACTAATTAGCTGCATAGTGCCACATAGAAATCAAAAAGATATTAACACAGTTGGAGAATTCTCTATTAGATTCTGCAAACTCCTACAGGCCACATGGAAAAAAACGTCATCCAAAGAAATAGCCATGTCCCTAATGTGTTTCTTTTTAGTGGCCTGAAAAAGTTACAGAAGCCCTTTGCTTAGATGCCATTTGAATAATTTACGCACTGACCAAACCAAGCTAATAAAGCCAGAATAAGCAATGTTGTCTACAGCCTTTGGAACTATTTGGACCTTAAACCGCATATGGAACACCTCAGACGTCTAGCTTACTTTACTAGCCTCACAGTGAAGCCAGCAGTCTGTCTCCAGAGACTGAGCAGTCAGTTCCACTCGCAGCTCCCCGTCCAAGCTTATTCAACACATCAGGTGTAATAATCTGCAGAAGGGCTCCGGTGGGGGCAGGGGATAGATAAAACTGATTAATGAACATTTCCATTCGGTGCTGGCTCTGGACGTCTCAGGACGAGGGGATTTTTTTTTCTGCGCGTGTTCCAGTGAAAGCAGCAAGCGGTCCTGCAGGCAACGAAACTGTACTGTTTATTTTTCTTCGGCTCAAAATCAAAGAATTTATTGGTTTAATACTGAAGTTGCAGAACCATTTAAAAACAAAGGCAGAGCGAAGTCTGGGCCTCTTTTTCCCTGAAAGAACAAAGTACTGAGACAAAGTGTGCAGTGCAGAGAATGACATCACTTTTGGACAGCGACTACCAAGTCGGGTTCAAGGCTGTTTCTTTTTTTTTTTTTAAGGCTCGACTTCCCTTCATTTTTTTTCTCCTCTGGCAGTGTGCGGTTGTGTTTGCATAGCTTGGACAGAGTTTATAAATACAGGGAAAACGGCAGACAAAACAAAGTTTCAAACTTTATTTCTAGAAAAAACATTGTCCCCCTGTCATCGAGTGAGCCGACAGTCCCGAGTAAATTTCTAACATTAAGCTGGATGGAGAACACAGCCAGTGCTGCATCATTATACAGTAGCTCAGGCAGCCAGGAAATACCAACCATTTATAAAATCTGGTCCTCTCTCATGAAGTATAAAAGAGAAAATAAAAGAAAAGTCGAACATGAGAGCTAAACTTCTAACAGATTTATGGTCGTGTCTCCTCTGTAAGAGCTAATATGGTGAAAATGGCTTGAAAATACAGAGAAGAAGCCGAAAAGTTGAGGGGAAAAAATTCTGAAAATTCAACATGTTTGAGCCACCAGTCTTGCTGTGAGACAGTCCTGACTATTTGGTAACAGTTGCGATTGATCAGATACAGGATCCGGTTTACCGCGGTAAACCAGCGACACCGTCCAGTTCCAAAAGAACAACAAGTCCCAGAACTCTTTGCTCCCTCCTTCCCGGCTCAGACAGCCAGGTGACCCGCACATTCAAGCTCAGAACTTGAGGCTGAATCCTGGACCGACTGCAGACGCTCCCTGGTTGCTGGTTGTCAGGTGGAAGCCCGTGTCCTTCAGGTCGTCATCGCCCTGCAGAGACATTACACAGTTATTAGTTCAGTTTCATCAAACCTCTGATTTCACTCACTGATCAACACTACACTGGTTACTTTTGGAAAACCCTTAACGGATCCTAAGAGACATTTTGATTGTATTCCACAAGTATGCATGAACATGTTTATTATTATTAATATTATTATTGTTATTCTTCTTCTTCCTTGGTTCCATTGGACAGTGTTTATGTCAGACTGAAGCTTTTCCAACCTGACGAGAATAAAACTTCAAGAACGAAATGGTCTAATTTATTGGTTAAAAAAAAAAAACAACTCCTGGGTGGGGAGGACCGTTGCTGAAAACATTAAGATCTAAAAGGTGATCATCATGGAAAACACAAGGAGGAAATACGACAACACAAAGCAGAAGCCTGTAGGTCTGTAATCTATTTAACACAGACGCCGTTCCGAAAGCCTGGTAGCTGTATGTAATGGAGAAAGTGGAGCCTAATGTCCTTACCAGCTGACTGTAGCCCAGGCCTCCCTCGGGTGGACGAGGACTAGTGCCTCTTTTCACCCTCTGCTGCTCGCTCTTGGCCGGCCAGGTGGGGAACATGGACGGGTCGATGGGCAGCGGCGTCTCTCTGAAGTACTCGTGCTTGAGCGCGTCGTCCGACACGATCCTCTTACTGGGGCAGTAAGTTAGGAATCTGGAAAACAGGCAGTGCTGGAGTTCATATGTGTTCATATGTGTGGGCTTTATATGGAAACCTCTGTGTGGAGAGCACAGGTTAAAGTCTGAATTTGTTCTGGTTAAGAGGTAATCTGGTGCCGGACCCCCAAGCGGCTGCTCTCATCTACAATTTCCACAGTAGGAGGGATTAACGGCGGAGGCGTCATCTTTCTGTGCCAGAGCCAGTGAAATAATCACAAGAAAACGGCTAAAATATGATGCAAGTGGGGATGAGATGAACACAGATACACAGGTTGCTGCTCAAACATAAACAGGCAAATGAATCTGATAATCAGGCTACTGAAGAGAAGCTGCTCTAAAACTACACATCTACAAAAACTGACTTTTCACCTGAGAGCTAGAGGTCCCTGACGTTTGAACAAAAATGGAAGAAATGGCCTTTATTCAAGGACAGATGCAAATCTTATCAGAGTTGAAGGGGAAAATGGACGAATACAAATACAGCAGCGCCTCCCCCCTTGTGTTTGTTTCTTGTTTTGTCCGTGACAGTCGTTTGTTTGTAATAAATGTTTGAAAATCTGCTTAAATAAAAAGAATATTTAAAAAAAAAGAAAAGAAAGAACAACTAGACAGAAGATGCCGCCGCGGCACAAGCGGCCGGTGGCTTAATCGTACATGACAGGATCAACACAGCACAATGGAGAGCCACTCAATTGTGATAATTGGCTTTCTAACTGTGTCTGATTGGAATTTTCTGTGTGAGCGGGGGCGCTGCGGTAAATCATGAACACTAGCCTGGAAAAGATTTTTATCAAACAAAGCGTCTCTGTTTTTACGTGGAGGGAATCCCTGAGAAGGATTTACTGAGCGACTGCTGCCAGCTTTGTGACATTTGGGGGCCAACGTCGGCATCGAAGGAGACAATCGTCCACTTGTGTCTAAATTAGTGTTTTTGTTGTGGAATTCCAAGAATGAACGCTCCTTCCTGCACCTCATGACTCACACAGACCTGTTTATACTGAGACACAAGGTGATGGAAACTAAAAATATCTCTTATCTTTCAAATCTTATCATTGCTCTTCCTTCAGTTTGCTGTAGTAAATAAAACAGGTCAGAAGCCCCTGCTCAGACTTCACTCTTCTACACAGACGGGTGTGATATTCCAAACAGCTCTGTGATGTCTACCTGCCATCCTACACCTCTAAACTTCTACTACACTGCGCTGTCTGAAGCTTTTCAAGCTGGAAGGTTTCAGCGGCGCTGGCAGGGCGCCAAGGTTCCACTGAACCGTGATCCCTCCGGCAGCACAGTGGACATGTTGTTACCATCCTCTGCAGCTGCGAGGAAACTGCCTGGTGTGGTTTTGTCATTTACAGGTGTAGGCAACAGGCTCTGTGGGTGGGTGAAGATCTGAGAGGAGAAGCTCGTCTCTGCTCTCTGCAGCTGCTACACTCGGCCGATCTCTGGAATGTGCGAGGAAGAATTATAAACCTTTCACTCTCTGTGTGAAAATGATCCTCCATATTAAGTGTGTGTGTTTTCTAAAACATTTTCCTGGAGTGTGGAGAATCACCATGGTGTTTGTGAGAAACGGAACAAGGGGATGGAACGGGACTGCTGCTGAGGCATGCTGATGAATTACCAGTCCGCTACCGTTGTCATGTTTTCAGTCGGCTCGCCAGAAATGCACTGACTGAATAAAAAGCTCTGGAAAGAGAAACAGAACCTGACAGCGTAGCGCTGCGTTCATCCAAGTAAGGCAATTTCCACTGTAGCAGTCGTGCTGATTGTTACTGATATTAGTGGTTGACATTTTCCTTTCACTGGCGTATGATATTGGTATGTGTTCTATCAATGATTGACTGAAAACACAGCCATCAAATATTTTATAATATAATGCCTGTGTGGATATTCTTATGACTTATTCATTATTATTAATACACGAGACCAAACTGAGTCTTAAAATCTCAAAACTATCAAATCTTGTCATCGACCATAAAAACAGATCCGTTTACGTTTGTGTAACAACTGAGAAGACAAAAAACAGCTGGAATACCAACGATCAGCCGCATGGCGGTGCGGTAAAGACGCAGTGCAGTGTGTGAGGTGTATAAGGCCGTCTTTAAGAATCCTACTTGTTCATGAGGTCAAAGCCTTGGTCTGAGAGCAGCGCTCCAAAGCGCTTTCGCAGGTTGTTGTAGGGATACTCTGTGAAAGTCATCTTCTTCACAGCGGGCAGCTCGTTGTAGCCAGGCCAGATCTTCTCGCTGGGTGACCCCAGATCCTACAGGCAACACACACCAGTCAGCAGACAAACTGTTAGAGACAGACGCAGATGAGATATTCTCATCATCAACCACAGACATGTGGCAGTTCACTAGTCCTAAGTACATTTCAATACTTTAATTCATCACTGGTAAAGTCTGTAGGATAACGGCTGTCACGCTTTATGCACATCGTCTACTGAAAATTATTCAGCCAACTCTGATTTCAGTCTCATAATAACTTCATCAGCTGGTGTGACATCCACCATGAGCTCCACCCTGTGGTGCAGAGCAGAACTGCAGGCTGACACACTGACAGACGACA